ATTCTTTCAATACTAATAACCACCTTGTGAAGTAGGTACTATTGTTATCAGGTAGCTCGTTCTAAAAGCGACTGGCCAAATAAATCTTACCGTGTTTTGAGCTGTTCACCTCTCCTTCTGGAGTTAGATTCCAGGTTCTTCTTGTCTTGAACAAAGAAGTGAACAAAATGAGCAAAAGGCAGTGGCAAAGTTCATTTGAAAAAATAAAAGTGAGAGGGCCAGGGGATTTAGCTCAGTGGTTTCACTGCCTGCTGTGCAAGGACCCGAGTTCGATCCCCGGTACCAATAAATAAATAAATAAATAAATAAATAAATAAATAAATAAAAGTGAGGGAGCTCTGCAGAGTGAGCTTGGGCCAAGCAAATGAGCAAGACAAGAGTAGAACCTGGAGAAAGTAGAGTAGACTATCCTGAGGAAAGCCAGGATAGCAAGTTCTTGGCAGCTGTCCTTTTATACTATCCAAATTCAGACAGAACTTCTACATAGGGGTCCTGGGAGAGAGGTGGGGATCCCACACCTCAGGCTGAGTCGGGTCCAGGCCACCCTATTGAAAACCTGCTCAAATTCTGGAGTGAAGTCCATGAGCAGGGCTTTAGAACCCCTTCTGTGAATGTTCTGGAATACTGTAATTAGCAGGTCACACCTACTTCCCCAGCCAGCTTTGCCACACTCTAATCTCCTATGTCACGATTAGTGTCCCTTTTTTAATTTTAATCCTTTTTTTGGTTTTTTGAGACAGGGTCCTGCTGTGTAATTCAGGCCCACCTCAAACTCACAGTTATCCTCCTGCCTCAGCCTTCCAAGTGCTGGGATTACAAGCTGCACCACCACACCTGGCTGAGTGTCTCCATTTTATATGTGAAGAAACAGAGACACAGGAGAAATAACTTGCCTAAAGCTACTTGGCTACTAAGGACTTCATCTACCTCTTCTATCAAGCCCAGATTAAACAGAATTGATTTGTTCACAGTACGGTCTTCATCTCAGATTTATATGAAATGTAACATTCTAGCCAAGAGATATTTATAATACAAAACCCAAACATACCAGAATAGTAATATCCAAATCATGCCAAGATTATGCACAAAAGACTAGAGATTAGAGAAAGCCAGGCAGTCAGGAGCTCTCTGTGGTCTAATACTAACCAAGCCATGGTATGGCAACAGAGACAAAGGTGCATAAGAAAGGAGAAAAAGATGACTCAGGGTCATAAGCCCAAGTAGTAAGAAAAATAATGTCATCTGTAGGGAAAAAAAAGATGTAAATATTGAGAATTGCTTGAGAGTAAATGGAATGAGACTGATTTTATTTTATTTTTAAAATAAATTTTATTTTATCTTTATATTTATGTAAATATAGTTTATTATTTAATTTATATCTTTAGTTTATATTTATCTCCCTATGTACAAAAGCTTTGTTTCCATTATGAGACTGATTTTAGACAAGTGAGTTTCATTCAGTTAGACAACAGAAACAGTACATTGTTGTCTGTGTGTATGCGATGGTGGGACATGGTGGCCAACACTGTAGTGACATGCTCATGTTCTAGGTTGACGTAAGTATAGATTTAACAGCATTGGACAGCTTCCAGAAGGCTTGGTCAGGCTATCAAACCCCACTTACAGCTTCTAGAAAAAAATATGTCTCCTGTGAGGATGCCTGAAAAGTCAGATCTAACTTCCTTTGCAAATACCACTGAAACATCAAACTCAGTGTGCCTAAGAGTGTATGTCCCTATGGCTAGGGCTGCCAAAACCAAAATTACAACAATTTAGTGTAAGGATCTTAATTGGGTTTCTTTTTCAATTCTAGACTCAGGCAGCACTTCCAAAATGGAATGAGTGTTCTAATGAGATATACAGAGAAGATTGGTTTTATAGATAGAAAAGGAATGAAGAAAACGGGGGAAAAGCAGATTGGTCATTTTAAAATAACTTTCTTTATAACATGGGGACAGGGAGCCACATCTGCCTGGCAAATTGCAAGGTCCTGAATTCAATCCCTGGTACTGAGAAAAAAAGAAAAAAGAAAAAAAGGTGGGGACAGGGAGACAGACCAACAGCAGAGAGGAAGGACTTCATTATCAACTGAAACTGGCATGCTTGGGACATTTGGTTATCTCTCATTTCTCCGAGCTTCTTTGGAAGGTCAGGTAAACTGCTTAATTTAGCTTGGTGGAGATCGAACTCGGGACCTTGCGCTTTCAAAGCAGAAAGCGGAACCACTGAGCTTTTTAAATCCAGGGCCCAAGCTTCTACATGTTTTAAAATTTTTTTTTTTTGGTACCAGGGATCGAACTCGGGACTTCCTGCTTGCAAGGCGCCAGGCGGTGGAACCACTGAGCTAAATCTCCGGCCCATACATGTCTTAAATTTTCATAACTACTATCAAATTATTTCTCCAAAAAGATGGGATAATTCTGACTTGTCATAGTGTGTCTGTTTTTGTTACACTCCCCCTATCACTACATGTTTATTTGAATTTTTGCCAATCTGATGGACAGACAGCAATATTTCATGTTTGCCTTTATGTGCATTTATTTGGTTAGTAAGTTTTTAAATTTTTGTTTTGTTTTATGGTGCTGGGACTAGAATCCAGCTCTGGACCACTGACATCCTGAACCGTTGGTTTGTAAGACTGAGAACACTAATTATGCTTGTCCATTTGAATTTCCTTTCCTACCAGGAGAACTCTTTCACTGTATGACTATAGATGTGCTGCTGTTCTTTGTAGTTATTTCTCCATGGTAGGCATCTGCTGCTGGTCAAGGCTGCTGCTGCCCTGAATGGCCTCCACAGAGCCAGATATAAACTATCTCTGAGAATAGCCATGATTGCTCTGGACTGTGCAGGTGTCACGGATGACAACACAATGCAGTGGTTCCAGCTCTGTTAGCTCTCATTTGTGCCACTTCAAAGTCTTTTATACACACTTCTTCCCCTCACTGTGGTAATCATCCAGTCAAGTTCCCAATTTCTCTCTAATCTGGGCACACTTTAACCCCTCTGTCTGAAAAACTGAAAGGATTTCTCTGACACACTATCCAATGAGCTTGTCCCAGTCCCTATTTTCTTCATAGCACCAATCATATTGGCAGGAATATTGTTAATTTCACTCCCCAAGATAGATTATAAATTAGGCTATCAACTGCCTTATTTACTGTTTTAACTCCAGTGCCTAGAGTGCAAACACCAGGAAGGCTTCAACAAATACTGAAGAAAAGTGGTGAGTTTTCCAGGAAATAATCTACATGATGTTTAACAATTTTTTAAATGTAGTACTGGGGATTGAAGCCAAGGCCTTTGCACTGAGCTATACCATTCTGCCCGTTTTTATTAATTATTTATTTTGAGACAGGGTCTCAATATGTATTCCAAGCTGGCCTTGAACTCACTATGTAACCCAGGCTGGCCTCCAACTCAAGGTGATCCTTCTGCCTCTGCCTCTTTAGTGCTGGGATTACATGCATGGGTCACCCGACTATTGTTTATTTTGAGACAAAGTTTTGCTAAATCTTTAAATTGCCCGGGCTGGGCTCAAATTTGTGATCCTCCTGCCTCAGCCTCCCATGTTCCAAAAAAGAAAAGAAAAAGATGGTTCCAAAAATTTTTAAAGGCTGCAATTATCTTCTGGGTCTTCTGGAGAATTTCTAAGCTTCAGAAATAGATCACATGCATCAGAAGTGAATGGGTTGCCCACCATGGTGGTGCAGGTGGTGCATGCCTGTAGTCCTAGCACTCAGGAGGCTGAGGTAGGATTGCCTTGAGTTTGAGGCCAGCCTGAACTACATAGTGAGACCCTGTCTCAAAAAAAAAAAAAAAAAAAGAACAACAACAAAAAACAAAAGTGAATGGGTTTACTGAAACTTTTAAAAGTGCAGAACATTTTGATGAGACATAACATATGGAGAGAACTATCCAGGAGGAGATAGAAATTAATCCTATCAATGTTCAAAATTTGCACCTGAAAGCCGGGAGTGATCATGCACACCTGTCATCCCAGCAGAGGCAGGAGCACGGTCAAGGACTGATCCTGGCGCCCAGCAACTTTCTCCAGATCTACGTGAGACAGTCTTTCCTCTCCCCAGAGTTCTAGGCCAACCTGGCCTACAGAGTGAGTTCAAGGCCAGGCTTGTCTCCAAAAACAAAAACAAAAAATTGCGTTTGATTTTGGACCCTTTACAGATATAAAAGACTCTAAATTTTTCTATTTTTTTAATAAAGGCTTATCTGAGTTGCAATTTGCAGTTAAAGCACAACAGAGACACATCTACCACTTAAAAAAAAAAACTTACCAGGACTTTATGGGGAACGATGAAAGAGTAGCATCTCACCCAAACACAGGATTTTCAAGGCAGCTTTCAGCCTGCCCACGGTTATTTTGTTTTAGCGGGCAGACTTGTCTCCAAAAACCGTTTGATCTTAGTGCTATTAACTCGCTAGGTTTTAAAAAAATCTATTCCCTATTTCCTTATTTCACTTACTTGGATTTATCAATACACACACGTGTCTTGTGGAACTCAGGCTTGAGTCAAAATCATTTAAGGCATTAGAGGGTTATCTATCTAGAGAAGCATTTCAGGGGTTTACTATGGGACTGCGCACAGCTTGGCTTATAGTCAAAGCAATTATGTTTCCACTTGTTGGCAAACCGCCTTTGCCCTGCCTTACAACTCCAGCCCTCAAAGCTGCCTAGACGCCTAAATTGGGTTCCGGGCCCCGCCCTCTTAGCGCCAGGCCGAGCAGGGCACCTAGAGACCGGAAGCCGTCTCGCCCTTCAGTTCCTTCGCCGCCCTCGGCGCGACGCGCTCGCCAGGTGCATTATGGGCGCTGTAGTCCGGCCGTAATCTTCGCGACCGCAAATTCCGTGTCCCCGGACCCCCTCCCGCATTGCCCCTCCCCAGCCTCGGCTGGGCCTCCCGGCCTGGAGCGCGGCGTTCTGGCGAGTCAGCTGTTTGTCCCCTGGCACCGAAGCGGAAGCCTGCGGACTGGGGGGGGGGGGGGGGAGGAGCTTCGTGCAGGGGTGAACGCCCGCACTACGTGCTCGTTCTCCTCGCGACCGCTGCGCGCTAGCCCCGTGTCCCCGCGGCGGGCGGTAGCGGCGGCGTCTGTGGAACGCGAGGGGGCGGAGGGAGCCCGCGGCGGTGGTTAGAGCGAAATGGCGGAGACCGTGGCGGACACCCGGCGGCTGATCACCAAGCCTCAGAACCTGAATGACGCCTACGGGCCGCCCAGCAACTTCCTCGAGATCGATGTGAGCAATCCGCAGACGGTGGGGGTCGGCCGGGGCCGCTTCACCACCTACGAGATCAGGGTCAAGGTGAGAGCGTCTTTCCTCTTGTCTAGACCCCGGAGCCAACCCCGTCGCTCCGGACTGACCCTGGCGCGACCCCCCTGGGTAGTCGGCCGCTCGGGCAAGGACCCCTGCAGTGGGCGGCCCTGTCTGCGGGCCGCCTCTCTGGTAGGGTTTCCGTGGGGGCTGCCGACCGAGCCCTGCGGCTCGTGGAGAAGGTGCTAGAGGAAGAGGGCGTGGGTTGAGCGACACTTGCCCCGTAAGCAGCTATCTGGGAATGACAGATGAGTTGGAAAGGAGTAGATCTTTCGAGAACACGTTCCTTCACCGCCAAGAGTGTAAAGTGTGAAGTTGAAATCTTGCCTTTTCCTGGAGACTGCCCAGAGGTGGCCTCGCCACGCTGGTTCTGTGCTATCCCAGGCTACCAAACCTACGTTAAGTTGCACACTCTTCTGAGCAGAACTCGACGGGAGTTCACAAAAGCCCCACAAATTTTGGGGATGCCTTTATTTTTGGTACCGGGGATCGAACTCGGGACCTTGCGCTTGCGAGGCAGGCGCCGGAACCACTGAGCTAAATCCCCGGCCCAGCCCCACAAATTTTGGATTGGGCTGGGCCAGGTGTGAGCGGTGATTGGAAATGGTTGACTAGCATTCTTGGCGGTCAATCTGCTAAAGGTGAAGGTATGGGGAATGCTGCTTACATCATCCAAAACTAACTGCTTTAAGAAAAAACTATTCTTTTAGGGAGCTTGATTTCGTTCGAGATTTGCGTTTTGCTGAATGAAGGAATCAGCTGAACTAGAAACACAATTTTATAACTCGTATTTGTTGGCAATAAGTAATTCAGATGCTTTGGAAAATGCTAATTGAGACTAACACTTCACTTTCTGTAGTTCAGGATTAAAGACCTCGGTCACATTTGGAAGTATGTTTAAAAATTACAGTACGTTAAACTAATCCAGCTGTTAAAAACAAGAACAACTTTTTTAAAGTTAAACATAAGATGATTTTTGCTTTAGAGTAATGAAATTTACCTAACTAGTTACTATTGACATTTAAGTGCAGTAATTTCTTTTTCTTTTTTATTTATTTTTTTTCCGAAAAGGGCTTATTGTGAAGTTCAGGCTGGCCTTGAATTCACTATGTAGGCCAGGCTGACCTGGAACTCTCAGTGATCCTCCTGCCTCAGCCTCCTGATGGCTGGGATCACAGGCATGGGCCACCCCACCCGGCAAAGAGCAATAATTCTTTTTTTTTTTTTTCCAGTAATTCTTAATGAATTTATGTACTTTTGCCTGTGTGATAAAAAAACAATATATATACAATGTACCATCTTATTTTTGTGTGTAAGAACAGTTCGTTCACATTGTTGTGAAACTTTTTGAAAATGATTCTTATGGAAGTGTTGCTGAAAGAAAAAGTCATCCAACTTCAGTTAAAAGACAAAGTAACAGTTTACTATTATAAGCCAGCCTGTCTCTCTTTGGATGTATAAAATGTGAGCTATAAACTGTCTTGCTATAAGTAAGGGAAGTGCAAAATTCAGGCCCCTGTATACCTAGGAAAGTGCATGCGTAGACGAATTTAGGGAAAAAGTGAGGGATTTTTTTAGTGTTTTTAATTTGTGAAATGATTTTGGATTGTTTTTAATGTGTGGCAAATGGTTTACTGAAAAGAACTTCCTCTTTTGCCCCTTTTATTCACCAGCACATTATTCTGTTTTTTCTTGTGCTAAAACAAAACTTGATGTGCCTGTTTTTAAACTTCCTAGCTAGTACTTCCTGTCATACAATTGAATTGGAATCTCCTGCCTACACTTACTGGACTTAATAACTTTGTTTATTTTGTTGAGTGCACTACTAAATGGATTCTTGTACGGTGATTTAATTTTCTTTTTAAAAATAACCTGTGATACTTTATTATCAAATACCTGATATGACACTTAAATATAAATTGTTTGATACCATCCTTTGAATGGTATAGAAAACAATCCTTAGCCGGGCATGCCTGCCTGTGATCCCAGCGCTTGGGAGGCTTAGCCAGGAGAATCACTGCAAGTTCGAGGCCAGCCTGGGCTACATAGTGAATTCAAGGCCAGTCTGAACTACATACTGAAACCCTGTCTCAAAAAAAAAAAAAAAAGGAAAGAAAACAATCTTTAAGATTGATTAGTAAGAGCAAGAGCTGGGCATGATGGTGCATGCCTGTAATCCCAGCTGTTCCAGAAGCTGAGGCAGGAGGACTGCAAATATTGAGGCCAGTCTGGGCAACTGTCTCAAAATTTTATTTTATTTTATTTTTTGTCTTTTATTTTTTTGGTACTGGGGATCGAACTCAGGACCTTGTGCTTTCGAGGCAGGCACCGGAACCACTGAGCTAAATCCCTGGCCCCTGTCTCAAAATTTTAAAAGGCCTGGGCTGGGGATTTAGCTCCGTGGTTCTGCCTCCTTCCTCGAAAGCACAAGGTCCCAAGTTCAATCCACAGTACCAAAAAAAAATTTTTAAAGGGATAGGGATGTAACTCAGTGGTAAGGTAGGTGTTCTTTAGTTCATTCCTAGTATGAAAAAAAAAAGGTTGCTTAGAGTTAGGGAATAACTGGGTTTTTTGTTGTTTTGTGGAGCTAGGAATTGAACCCAGGGCTTCGCACATGCTAGGCACAAGTGTTCTTCCAGATAGGGTCTTACTAAGTCCAGGCTGGGCTTCAAATTGCAGTTCACCTGCCTCAGCTTCCCAAGTATCTGGAATTACACGTATGCACCACGAAGCCAGGCTCTTTTGCATTTTTACACAGGCCAGTTGGTTGTGTGTAAAATGCAGGTACCTGGGCCAGGGATTTAGCTCAGTGGTTCCACCTCCTGCCTCACAAGCGCACAGTTCAAAATTCTATCCCCGACACCAAAAAAATAACTAAAATGCAGGTGCCTGATAACAAAACATAATGAAATTTTTAATGCTTATGAAATGTTATTGTAATTTCTCTTCATATGTAACGTGGTAATTTAAAACTCAGGATGCCATATAGCAAGACATGATAAGATTTTGAGAGTAATTACAGCATATGATTTTGAGAGTAACTACAATCTTATATACGGTAACATGGACATGAGATAAATAGGTTAATCATTTTATAATTTTATTTACTGCTACTTTTCTCAACTGTTGCTATTCTCCCTGACCCCTACTGCCTGCCTTTTGCTATTGAATTTGCTGTGTGGAAACTGCTTTGTGTTTTAGAGTTTGGGCCCTTGAACTATCTTACACTTACTCCCTAATTCTGGTCTTGAGAAAAATGTTCAATTTTATAGAATCTGATTGAAATTACTCTTAATTCACAGGGTAATTTTATCTGGATGGTGGCACTTTAGAATGCAAGTTTCCCAATTTCCATTTATCATTTTGGTTTGAGAACAGTGTTTAAGACTATTAGGATCCCTTGATTAGTATCTCTGGGCTTTTGAAAATAATTGGCACAGTGTTAATGTTTTTTTTAAGTGTTCTAATGGGTAGGTACAGCAAAGAACACCATAAATGATTAAAGGTTTAGGAAAGCTCAGGGTCTAGAATTATTTTCACATATTAAAAAGAAGGCTGAAAGGGAAATTTAGTCATTATTTATGAAGTTTTTGCTACAGCTTTAATTTTCTGGGGATTTTAAATTAATTAAGATCTGCTATTGTAGAAGACAACTGTTTCAATCAGGAGTAGAAATAAAGATCTTTCTTGAGCTTTGATATGGTCCTGGTTCAAAGAATAAATTTATCATGTACCAGCAGGGCAGGATAAAAATGAAGGTTTCTCTTCCCCTCTATGAAATAGGTATGATAGTAATGCTAGTCAGTGAGATAATACATGAATCTCTTTAGCATAGTGACCTACACATGATACACACTCAAAGGCCAGCTTGTTTTTGGTATTTTGAGACAAAGTCTTGCTATTTATTTCAGGCTGGTCTTGATCTCCTGCCTAAGCCACTTGAGTGCTAGGCATGCACTGCCACACTTGATTTCCCCAGCCCTTTTTTAATTTGAGACAAGGTCTTACTGATCTAATAAGTTGCCCAGGCTAGGCACAAATTTAGCATCCCCCTTGCCTCAGTCTACCACAGTGCTGGGATTTCAGACAAGGACCACTACACCCAGCTTCAGCTCTATTTATGTATTTATTTTTGCTGTTTTGAGACAAGGTCTCACTGTACAGTTCAGATTGGCCTTGAACGTACTATGTAGCTCAGGCTGGCATCTACAGCCATCCTCCAGCCTCAGCCTCCTAAGTGTTAGGATTACAGGCATGCTACCACACCCTACACAGCTCTTTATAAATATTTCCAGAATTAAAGATCACTAGCTGGGTGTGGTAGTGCACACCTATAATCCCAGCACTCAGGAGGCAGAGGGAGGATGATCAGCCTAAACTACATAGCAAGACCCTATCTCAAAAAAAAAAAAAAAGAAGTAGAAAATAAAGATACTGACTGCCTGACTAGGGTGGTAGTATGCACCTGTATCCCAGCTGCTGGAAAGGCAAGAGGTCACAAGTTCAAGTCTAGCCTGGATAATTTAGTCAGACCCTGTCCCCTGTCTCAAAACAATTTTTTTAAAAAAATAGGACTGGGGCCAGGGATTTAACTCAGTGGTCCCACTGCCTGCCACACAAGCATAAGGACCTGAGTTCAATCCCTGGTACAAAAAAAAAAATAGGACTGGAATGTAATGTAACTCAGTGGTAGAGGGAACTCGGTTCATTCCTCACCACTGAGAAAAAAAGTTATTGATCAACGTTTTCTGTAGTTGAGTCACTAAAATTGTTAGATTTTCTTATCAAGAAACCTACTTGGCATGGGAGTGTCTTCATTGAGGCAAGTGTGGTATAAAAAGAAGCCATCCTGTTTAGTACTTAAATAGCCTTCGTTTTTTGTTTCCTTTTTTGAGACAGTCTCACTCTGTAGTTCATAGTTGCCTTGAACTCACTATGTAGCCCAGGCTGACCCTGAACTCCTGCCTTATCCTCTTGAGTCCTGAGATTAC